CCCGCCCAAGCCAGCGCGGTGAAAGCCGACACGCTCAGTGGCACCAAGAGTGGGGCGAGGGGAGTGGGGGAAGCGGCTGAGCGCGCCTGCCAGCCCGCCCGCCTCGGGCCCTCGTTTACTGACTGCTGTGATTGTTTTCTTTCTTTGACCGTGATGAACAGCGCAGAGCTTAACGCCTGCTTACTCAGAAGGAATTCCTATTGTGTGTAACCGAGAGCTCGAAACTTGCCCACGGGTCTTGTGCTGGCCTACTAAAGGCATTGTCCTAACCTGGATTTTGGAATTGTCCTCGATGGCCCAGCACAGCTTCTGCAAGCTGTATGCCTTTCCCTGGGAGTGGCAGTGTTAGTCCCAGACAGTCAAAACAACAGTCCTGTGGCACCTTAAAGACAAACTCCAGGATCCTGTTGAATGCCAGCTGAGCAGAAGATCTTGCCTGCATGTTGGTAGTACAGGATTTTGTGGTGCAGTTCTGTGATGCTTATGCGTGCAGGACTTCCTGATTAGTGGAACCTGAACAGGGTAGTGGCCTCACTCATACATTATAATAGGAGCTCTGTACCACCTTTCCATCCTGAACACTGCAAATCCTTGTCTGATTTTAGAAACTAACCAGAGACACTGTAATCTTTGTGTCAACAAGGGTTCAAGAAACAATTGCTGACAAAAATGACACAGAGCATTCTGAGGTGCCATTCTGTCTTGTTCCCAGCTCCCTGTGACAACAGGGAAGGCTAGTAATCCACTAGGGGATTTCCTCAGATCATTTTCTTGTAGGTATAAAACAATCATGCTACTTCTCCCACCCACACCCACCTCCCAGGGGTTGGCCTTTCTGCAAAAACGTGGATCAGTTTTATTTTTAATTTGAAACTTTAAGGCCACTTACCTAGTCTTTTGCTTTAAAAAAAACAGCAAGGAGATCATCAGGAAGAAAAATGCCAAAAAATATTCTGGTCAAAGAAGAAAAGCATACAGAAGGCACTGTATCAATTTGCTTCGCCAAACCTCCTGAAGCTGAAGTCAACATGTGTTGCTACAGAGCAAGTTCATCCAAAATTTCTGGGAATGCAGGTGTAATCTTTAATTTATATATTGTTTAATGTAAATAATCAGTGTCCCTCGACCTCAGTCCTTGTGGTACTATTAATAGATAAAAGATTTAAACTAAAATTACTTAGGGATCACATGTGACAAACATATTGTTAGCAAAGAAGGAAGCCTTGACCACTGTAATTTTTAGAAGTCTTAATGACAAATTCATATTGTATCCAAAGGCTGACATCTGCCCATTAAATAGGCTGGGTCACTAGGGATTTATTTGTTTGTTTTGCTTCCAGGTTTTGTTTCTTTTCCGTTTCCATTACGCCAACCTGCTCTTCAAAACAGGATATTAAGAATGTTTAAATTTAAGGCAATGGAAATATAAAAATGAACCTTTTTCTTTTTCATTTAAGAACAGAAGATCAAAAAGCTATCATACCAGTTCGGGGGAAAAATTATGAACACAGACATAAATACGTACTCTTTTAAATTCAACTGGGTCACTGTAGCCCTCTGGGTAGTGCAGGAGTGTGACTCCGGCTGATGGGACACTCTTGCAACATCTGGAGCACCGCCATTGCCTTCTTCTGTTTTTGCTAGAAAATGGTTATAAAGTTACAAAGTTTGATTAGTGTCTCTTAGTGTAAATCAGCAGCCTTGTTATCCTTAATTGCTGTATTTGTCAAGTCATCTTCCTGAATGCTGGGGCTATTTAAAGTTGTTATTCTCCACCCTTAAGTTTTGTTTTTCAGCCTACTGAATCCAAATCAGTTTGCAACCATGTAATGCACTGTAACAACTGTTAATATAACAATAACAATGAATATAACAAAGACAGTGTGTCCCCCATGGGGAGAGTCCTAAGAAAACCAAATTTTTGGAAGTTTAGAGATTCTGGTTAAGAAAGGGCAGAGATTCAGCAATTAACATTTCCCTTCTGAAATGCTGTTTTCTCATTTATTTTAAAATATTTTTGCTGGTGGCTATTATTAGATATTAGAAGCTCCCCCACCATTATAACATTCACAAAATTCCCCCCAGGTCAAAAGAGAACTCCAGAGAGCTTCATAACATGCAAAGCTTTCAATTAAATTAAAAATCACCACTGCAGGATGGATAAGTTATCCTACTTTCATGGCATAAAGATTCAGTGATTTTGGCAGCCATTTGGGATTTTTCCGTTTCTGTTTCCTCGCTATCATAGTGTCATAGAAGGCTGTTCTATTCACCAAATAATGTGTCATTCAGTGTTCTTTAATGAATACGTTTGGTTTTATAACGTGGTTATAAGACAATGTTATTTCCCAAAAAATTATTCATAGCTGGCTGCCATTTTGTAATGTTATACTTTTCACATACCGTAAATGTTACTTCTTGCCCTCAAAATTTCATCCAGAGTCATTAAATAGTGTGGTTCTAAGAGCAAGCATACACTCTTGAGGAAGTGTCCTCTGTCCAGAATCCTGCTAAGAAAATATGGATTGGAAAGACAGCTATGTTAGTGGTCTCCCTCTCTAGCGGGATGTCCTTTATGCAGCTGGTTGCATATTGATTGGAAAATTAGATGTTCAACCAGTCACATGACCAGTCTCATGGATAGCCTACCAAGAGAGCAGAAACCAAGAATCACTTGCATCATTGTCCTTACATGTACAGTTTTTCCATCATGATTCTGCTCTGTCATGTATTACAGGAGTACAGAGAGACTCAGTAGGTCCCAAATAGAAGAAACACAACTGCACAAATCCCTGTCAGAAAGGCACTTGAAATGTCACTGCCCACATACACATTACACATACACACTGTTGTGTGCTGTCAAGTTGCATATGACTTATGGCAAGCTAACAGGGCTTTCAGGGTATATAAAATATTAAACACATGGTTTTATTATTGCCATCTCCAGTGAGTTTCCATGGCCAAGCAGGAATCTGAACCTTGGTTTTCTGAGTCCTAGTTCATCTCTCTATTCACTGCACCACATTGGTTCTCAAACATGTACAGTACACAGATTTTTAAAAAAATATTAAAAGGTTAAAAAAAGAGAGACTAGTCACATAAAGTATGACATTGTTTCATGACCTTGGATCAGTGTCAATTTCTGCCCATGTTTGTTTGTCATCTGAGATAAAAACCTGAATAAATGAATTGTGGTCCACAGAAATGCATGCCAAAATTCGTGCTATTCTTATTCTGCCACAGGATTGTATTATTTTAAACTACCTGTATATTTAAGTTGCAATTTTCTGACGAAACCACTTTAGATGCCCTCTTGTGGTGAATGTAGTGATCTTTCTGTCACAGAGATCAACTACAGTATACAGTATTTAAGATTTTCTAGCAGTAGAATATTATACAATCCTAGTATTACAAAGTATTACTTCTGCTACAATTATTGTTGATCAAGATGATTATAGAATGACAGTGATCCTTGTTTGCCCTAGTTAATAATCGTATGCTGCCAGTAGCATGTGAATAAAAGTGGCAGCATTACAGGAAATTAAACCATTATCTTATGTCTATTCTGGAACTGTATACAAAGACTGAAATGCTGTTGTGCAGCTCTGCATGTGCAATGATAGTGATGTCAGTAGCAGCAAATTATTTCTGATTAAAAGTTTCCTTTAGGAATATTGGGATGAGCATAGCTTTGTCACATTGTGTATGAGTTATGTGCATTTAATCATTGGCAGTGTAATTACCACTGGACATGTCTTTTTCAGCAGATCAATAAATATATTTTTGCCAAGAAACACTAAGGTCTGACTCTAGAATTTTCTAGATTCTAAATGTCAAGCTTGTGCTCTAGCACTAATCTATCGGACCTCTAAATGCATGTTGGAGTTAGTGACAACAACATGTGTGAACAACCAGTGGCCTTTCAGATTTATTGGATACATATTATCTTTGACCACTGGCATGCTGCCTAGGACTGAGGAGACTTTTGAGTCCAACAATGTTTGGAGGGCCTGCATAATATGGTACCATACAAATATATACCATTTCACCAAATAATGTCAGCAAAACTACGGTTCCTGTACCAATGTCAAAACCTACACTTTGAACTGAATTTAGAAACAACTTGAAAATCAGTACACTTGGTTTGGAACCATTTCTATATGGCTTCTAAGCTGCATGTCAGGTAATAACTTGTTTGCTGCATTTAGTAGTAGCTGTGACCTCTGAACACTTTCCCAAGATGGTTGCCCATAGAGATGATTGTACAGTCTAATGAGGAGGTAGCTGACGATCACTGGGGCCTAATCCACCTTCTCTAAAACAAGGCACAATTGGTGTACAGCAAAAGCTGGAGAAAGGCATTCCTGGCTACAGAGGCAATATGGACCTCTAGGAGTAGTACCAGTTCCAAGAACTCCCACAGGCTATAAACGTGGCATTTTGTGTTATGCTTATGCCACCCAGAACAGTCCACAATCACAGTCCAGCTCTTCTGCTGACCAACAGAGCCTATGTCTTCTCTGATCTGAATTTTATGTTGTTAATCCAAATGCAATCCCTAGCTGTATCTATACTTGTTGGCAAAATTAAAGAGAAAAAAAGTGAAAGCATTTTGTTGCACTTAAAGAGGAAAGAATCTTTTCATTGTGGGCTTTCATGGATCAAAATCCATGTGTCTGGAAGAGTGGATTGTGATTTTCAAAGGCTTACATAAGCAGTTTGTTTAGTCTTTAAAATGGCACAATATTTGGTTCTTCTCTCCCCCCTCCAACCCTTAATTTTGCCAATATATTGAGACAAATTAACATGCCTATTTCTTTAGAAATTGCATCCAGACTGTGATTGGGACGTTCTGCAGCCTCCTTGGCATCAACTGACAAGCAAGGAAGAGATTGATATCATCAACATAGTTATGAAGTACAAAACCCCCATTATATCTATAAATGTTAAAAAATAGTGGGGACAAGATTGGTCTGATGACTGCTATATGCTAATTGCTAGGTCAAACAATATCTCCTAGTACCACTTTCTGGAAATGTTCAAACAGAATGGAATTGGGACACATAGATGCTTCCCAAGCACCATATCAACCATGCAGCCCAGAAGGATAACTAAAAAAAATGAATGCTGCCAGCAGTTCCACTAGAATGAACAGTGAAAAACTTATGTTAGCTAGATCCCTCCAAAGGTCACCCACGAAGACAACCAAGCAATTTCTGTCCTCAAATGATGGATTAATTCATATAGTAACAGATCCAATAATCAGCTTAATCTAAGGAAGCATTAAATTTTGCTGCCACAAATTTGTTGTAAAACCTTAATTAAAAAAGGAAAGTTTGACACTGTAGTAGTTATCCATAGTAGGAGCCAGTGAATGTTTAAAGGAAAAAAATTATATAATACCTATTAAAAATGGAATGCAACATTCTTTATAAGACATGTTTACAACCCTCACACCCAATTGGTTGGTCCTCCTCTGGCAGCTCTTACCAGCCTGAGGAGGACATGGATTTAAAGAATGAAGTAGCTTGCCTCACTCCTTCCTATTTTCAGTTATTACCATATTAGACAAACTCCTTTTCTTTGTTCACATTAGAAGCATCACAGTACAACTAACAAATGTATCAGATAATTTTTACCCAATATCAAGAACATTTGGGTAACTAGCATCAGATCTTCCATAGTACGTGTTGAGAGGCATACAATACACCGATATAGAATGCCCCCTCTTCTCTACACTCACAAATAACTGTGTTAATGTGAAAGCTTCATTTTCATAAGTTCACCTTGGTTCTGCTAACTCCAGTTCACAATCTATTGAGTGATTTCGAAGCAACTCAGTTCTCTGTGACGTGGGACTAGACTATCCTGGGGTTCCGTATCCATTTTAAAAAATGGATAGTTTTTTTCCTGCATTGTAGTCCTGGTACTCTCTCCTGTTTTCCTAGGATTCACAGATGTTTTTTGGGGGACCCTCTTTTTCCCCCTCTTGATTTTAATTTGGGAGGGGTAGGATGGTGGCAAAAGAGTGAATGTGCATTTGCTGTAGATGCTCTGAGTGTTTCATTATAAGGTGCTGCCTCTCTTCTTATGCCATGAGTTGCAATGCCTGAACAAGCTGAAACTCGTCTATCAAAACTGGGCAAGTGATTGCCTTCATTTCCTCACCAGAATCTATAGCCAATGTGAAAGCCATTTTATCTGTAAGCAGTTTAGCAAATTCATAGCAACATAGAAAGTTGCAGCCTTGTGCTGGATGAGAGCCTCTTTTTACTTTTATACAGCTATAATGAAAAATCATATTTAATGAAACTTTTGTCATAACAGCAAGAGTGCATATATTAATTATCCTATTATATGAACAAAGCAAAATCCAAACAACACAACTAAATTAATAAATTAATTGCACTGTGGTGGTATTGTGCTGACACAGCACTTGCTATGCTGCACTGACCATTATACCATGAATTTCTTATTTCAATTGCTTGCTGGATTCTGCACAACAACCTAGAAAATGGTAGAGAACATATAAGCCGATGGCAGTTGCTTATTCTAGACCAGTGGCTGGGAACCTTTCTGACTTTTTTGTAGTAAGTTCCCAAATACAAAGTAGCACCAAGATCTTTGGAAAATAATGTGAGCTTTGCAGTACAGAAGGCAAAATCAGGAACATCTCTCAAAGCATCACAGCTTTGGGGGCCAGCTTCTACCTACCAACAGGGATACTTTTTCAGTTTGCCTCTTTTTTTTGTCCTAGCAACAGAATGCTGAAATCAAGTAATATTTTTCCTGTACTTTTAAATCTGCAGATGTGGGGTTGAACTGATGGGAGAGGGCTTCCCACATGCCAGGAGAATGCTAGGCTGAACCTAACGCTATTTTTAATGCTACAAAAGCACGTGGCGATACACAACACAGAAGTTCTCAAGTCTACTCCTCCTCTTCTTCATTTGATTCATGTGAGCCAGGGTTGACAAGACCTTCTCTCTCTTTCTTTTTTCCTGCCGGTGCAATCCTATGCATACTAACCTGGGCGCAGACACAACACTATAAAAGCATTACAGAAAGTGGGATACGCACATCTAAAATAATATTTATTATTACTTATTTATTTAAAGTCTTTTCACCCCGCCATGCAGTCTGCCAAAAGGAGGCTCCCAAGGCAAGTTACGAAGATCGACAAGACAGCGTCTGCCTTCAGTTTTAACAACCTTCCTCTTTTCGCCCGAAATGACAGGGAAGCTGGGCAGCAGGAGTGAAGGGAAAAGCAAACGCTCCGTTGCTTCTTTCCTGTCACGTTCCTGTAACGCTCGGGTTGGTTTGAA